ACTACTTCCAGAACCTGTTCTTGCACTAAACAATTCCACAGTTTCTGTGAAACGTGAGTACAAGTTTCTGGGTCTTACATTTGACAGCAAACTAACCTTTGGTGCCCATATTAAGAACCTAAGATTGAAAGCTTACAAATCACTTAATATTCTTAAATTTCTGTCCCACCGATCCTGGGGTTCTGACCGGACGTGCCTTTTGAGGATATATCGCTTGATAGTGCGATCACGACTGGACTATGGCAGTATTGTTTACGGTTCAGCTAGGCCTTCCATTCTAAAAATGCTGGACCCTATTCATCATCTTGGGTTGCGATTGGCGACGGGTGCCTTTCGCACGTCTCCTGTGCCAAGTCTGTATGCAGAGGCCAACGAGCTGTCTCTTGAGAAGAGAAGATTTTCTCTGGGCTTTATGTATTCCCTGAGAGTCAGGTCCATCTCTGATCACCCTGCGCGAATGGCTGTGGAAGACATGCGCTCTGAAAGGGTGTTTCAAAACAAAGCCACAATTGTGCCTCCCTTCTCTTTGAGATTGAAAAGTGCCAGTGTGAACATGGGACTCGATTGGAAGCCCCCGGTAGTGCAGTCTACTGTTGCGGGAGCACCTTGGGAGCACCCTGTCATTAAGTGTGACCTTTCACTCACGCGATACAAGAAAGCTGATACTCCTAATGGTGTGTTTCTTCAGGAATTCTTAGCACTGCAATGTCAGTATTCCGAATATGTAAGCTTCTACACAGATGGTACAAAGACGGAATCTGCTGCTGGGTGTTCCATGATTGGCCCAACAGTTCAGCTTGTTAGGCGAATCAACTCCTCTGCTTCTATTTTTACAGCGGAGCTCTATGGTCTGCTTCTTACCATAGGCTTCATACTTGATAAAAAGCTCTCTCGCTCCGTCGTATACACAGACTCCCTCAGTGCATTGCATGCACTGTCTTCACTAACACCCCTCAAGCACTTCCTGCTCCTTGAACTGCGAAATAAGGTTGTTGCTGCCTCAAGACAGGGATACGAGATTGTATTTTGCTGGATTCCCAGCCACGTGGGCATTCCGGGCAATGAGGCAGCAGCTCGCGCAGCAAGTACTTGTGTAAAACGAACAGTTGACCTCCACAGCATTCCTTATACAGACTACAAAGGCCTTCTCAAGTGCAAATGGCAGGCTGAATGGGACCAAGAAATCGGCAACAAGTTGCACATGATCAAACCTCTTTTGAGCGAATGGCAGAGTGCACGCCACCAGGAACGCTTTTTTGAGGTTGTCCTTTGCCGGCTCAGGATTGGTCACACTCATCTGACTCATGGCTACCTCCTTCGTGGGGAAGATGCCCCCACTTGTGAGCAGTGTGACAATGCCTTAAGCATTCTTCATATTCTAGTTGAATGTCCTGCTTATCATGAAGAACGACTTTTGTATTTTTCGCAGCTGTATCAAGACCAAGTCCCACTACACCCAGCTCTGCTCCTAAGTGATGATTCTCTTGTGACACATACTAATGTTTTCAAATTTTTAGATAGTATCGGCCTTCTACACCGATTGTAGCTTTCTTAACTACAGATCATGCCTATCACCCTTTTACCTTTTGGTACCCCATTACCATCTTTTATCTAGTCACTGGCTACTAAAGCCTCTTTTTTCTCTCCAAACCTTTTCTAGCAATAGTCTCGTTTTTGGCGCTCTATGGCCTTAGTAGCTTTTGCGCCATAAACACCAAATCAACCAACCAACCAATCTAAAGATACGTCGGACGTTCCCGGTGGAGCCTTTTCTGAAAGATACGTCGGACTGTCGAACCCCCCCACGCTAGCACCGAAGCTATCGACAAGCCACACAGCTACTTACAAACATGGGGTCGGTATGCTTACGATGTGAGAGCTCTACGTGGGGGCACAGAATGTCGTGGACAAGGGCAGCAAAAATCACACTTTTTCGAAAACAAATGAGTAAAGGCAGCCCATAAATGTGTGCAACTGCATTAAAACATCAGTGTCAAGCAAATGAAATCAGTGATGCTATGAAGTGCACTTCAAATGTTTTGCAAGAGCAAGACCCGTCGATCAGCACACTGCCGTTCAATAAATTGCGCCCTAGTTCGGTTTGAGACAAGGACCACAAACCTTTTCCGGAATGCTAACTGATGTTCTGGCTTTCCAATCAAATCGGTTTTACTCACTGAGCAAAGCACCATCTGACTGAAAAAGAGCAGCGGTCCTAGCTGTCCCGTCACTGGCAGGGTCCCAACTGTCCCGTCATTGCGACAAGTTTCCCCCATAGAAATGAGTAGTTTTATAATGGTTTTCTTCGACCGCTGTAGCTCACTCGATGCGGTGGAGTGCTCCACATTTTGGAAGTGGTGCCGCCACCATTCTAGTTGTAGTCAACATCAGCTGTCTACACCTGGTTGGGCTGTATATGTTCTGCACATTATTCCAACACATGGAACAATACGGCCAGGTTAATGCAGAAGATGGTGATAGACCACTTCTGCTGGACTAAATGAGTCGTCTCGTCGATCAGCAAAAGTCTAATGCCACAAAATAGACACGCGTGTTCCTTTGCTCCGTTTTGACGGAAACACACTGGGCTGTTTGCTTTAAAGCTCAACCAGTGATTTTGCCCGTTTTCTCTGTGCTACGTGAGCAGCATGTGCATGATTAACGCTAGATGCTCGGCGCATCTCAAGCTTCCGAATTGCGCCCTAAGGTGACGCATCATGGGTCGAAAACCATGCTGCTTGCACTTTATTCCATGCCAACTGTAAAACATTCAGCTGTGCAATAACTTTTGACGCCTTAGTTTTGTACAAATGGACTTCAGGTGAATGCGTATCGTGCATTAAACGTGACTGTTTGTGTTGTACATTTTGCAAGCATGGCATCAAGCACGAGCCACAGGCAGTGCAGCACTATAGGCGGGTTCTGCATTCCCTTGGGCATGACGTCGAGATCTCTCCCTGTGGCCTCCTGGTGGACCCTGCCTGCCCTTGGTTGGGGGCCTCCCCCGATAGGCTCGTGTATGACCCCACTGAGGCTGTCCCTCACGGTGTCGTAGAGGTGAAATGTCCCTACACCATTTGGGATCGTGCAGAGCCAGACTCAAAAAGCTTTTATATGGTGAAGGACTCTGCAGGAGTGTACAGACTGAGCCGGGACCATCACTACTGCTTTCAACTTCTGGGACAGATGGCACTCTCCGACTCTCTCTGGGGAGATTTTGTAGTATATTGCAAACACTTTTTGATTGTAGAGAGACTTTCGTTTTCTTTGCCAGATTGGGTTCGATGCAAGGAAGCGCCGGACACGTCTTATTTTGCTACGCTGCTTCCTTACCTAGTGGAGCAGCGTAATCGGTCGACTGTGTGAACCGACCTTTAGCAGTTACTCCCTAAAGTGGTTCAGCAATAAGAACTGAGTAGCATTTACCGTAGAATACCGGGCATCCACTCATTCCACATTAAGCGCCCATTCCCAAATTTGTAAGATCTGAGAAAATGTGCACAGTACATTGATATGTAAAATTAAGGACTAGACAAGCGCCTGTCCCCTATTTTTTCGCGATTATCTCTAAATTTTGAGTGGGTGCTTGCCCGGTATTTTACGGTAGTGTTGTTTTCTGGTGAAATAATGAAAACTGCTTACGGGTAGCATTCAAGCTTGTTTTCTTCATTTTTTTACTTTTTATGATTGAAGTATGTGTGTCAAGGTTCTGGTCCTTTGAAGATAACATTTGGGTTGTTCATTATACGACACCTTAGATAGGGTACCTTACAAATCGTGGAGAAGAAAAACTTGTAAGCTATGAAGTGTATGCATATTCACTAAAAACCAATAAACTTGTGGTTCTGTATACCAGGCCCAATCTAAAATGGAGCGTAAAAATCGACACCTGCACGTAGCCATCTAAACTTTTTCGTCAAAGGTGTGTTTCACTGGTCGGTTTGTTATTGTAAAATAACAAAGCATAGTTCTCTTTTAGTAAAAAATAGGGCCAAGAAACTTGCCAGGGTCTACGGCGGGTGGCGACCCAGACGACACAAGTCCAGTAGCGGGGTGTGTTTAGCGTTCGTATTGATAGATGGGCGTCAGGAGCAGCGTCTGAAGGTGCAGCCGACTAGCCAAAGATAGCAGACGACACGCAGACAAAATCCGTTGGCAGCGAATGCGCAGTCGTTACGCAGACGCATTTTTTTTTACTTGACGTTTTGTTTTTATTGTTTGCATTTATTTTTTTAACCAAATGTGCATTTCCAAAAGATCATATTCATCTTATAAAGCACGGTGGTCGCGATAAGGGGGTAGCGCCATCTATCAATACGAGCGCCGAACACACCCCGCTACTGGACCCCTCTCATCTGCATTGCTGCCCGCCATAGACCCTGGCAAGTTTCTTGGCCTTATTTTGTACAGAAAGAGAGCTACGCTTTGTAATTTTACAAGAAAAAAACCGACCTGTGAATTACAGTTTCGACGAAAAGTTGAGATTGCTACGTGCAGGCGTCGATTTTTACGGTCCATTTTAGATCAAGCCTAGCGACTATAGAAGCTTTAGGAAATTTTCATGAGTGTTGTGCTGCTCACGGGCCAAATCTATACAATAACAAATTTACTGTTGACCTACTTTTTAAATTTAGTATTTCAATTTGTGTAAATAAAGCAGTGTATCACCCCGTACCATGACTGTCGTGTCCTTGCTCTTAAAGCAAATCAAACACATTTAAAACTGCTGATCGAGTGGAGAGGTACAGCATTACATATCTTGGTTTGTATTTTGGACCATTTGTTTATTTGACATTTGAGGAGTTTTTTTAAATGCACCAAATCCACCTCAACAGAGACTAGGAGCCCTGCAATGTGGCTTCCTGAACATTGGTTTGTATCGCATAAAACAAATCAAGTTGGATAACATGCCAATGTTACCTGTGGTTTTATCAAAAAATTTGTTTAGGTCTGGTTCATGAATTCGGCCTGTTTAGAAAAAACCACATGTGAGTGTGACAAAGATGTGGACGTGCATTCACTATTCACAGGGTTTGATCAAGGGACTTTGTAAATTGCTCAAGATCACACAAATAGCCCACATCTCGTTGACAATGGGAGCTATTGAGATTGGTACAGGCCGGTCAAAGAGGTGAAAATGTTTTATTCTCTGAACTCGTCTTTCTACGTGTATCCGAAGCGAGGCTATTGCTTCTGTTTCCCTCACTTCCTCGCTTGTAAAACGTCCCCTCCGGAGGAAGGGAGGTGTGTTCAGCTGAACGCCGATGTTGGTCAGTAGGTCCTCAATCTTAAAGCCTTTGTCAGCCATGATTGAGTCACCAGCATTAAAAGTCAGCTTGAGGAAACCACTTTTCTCGACACACTCTTTGTCGGACATGGACCCAGTGAATAGATCGGAGAAAAAGGTCACTGTGCCATCAGGGGATATTCCGACCAGCCCTTTCAATGTGTTCGTAGACTTGTAACTTGAAAAGGTTGCTGACTGCAGGGCAAGCGAGCTTGAGGCTTCGCACTTAACTTCAGTAGCGTCAAGAATCACCCGTGTTGACGGATAACGCTCTTTGAATACTGGCGGCATGTCATCGTCCACTGCCTCCCTAGGCAGCCACAGTGGTAGCTGTCCTATGTGAATGTAGATATAACTAGGGTGTGCATTTTTCGGTTTTAACCGAAAAACACCGGTAAACATCCGTCGATGACGAAAATATAAAATCGGTTAAAACCGAAAAACACCGGTGGTTGGATATTTTCGCCCTGGTTAAAACCGAAAAACACCGGTCGTTGCACGTTTCCGACCTAGCGAAACCCTTTCCCCGTAGAGGTTCGTCAAACGTGTTATCTCGTGGATTCTGCATTCTTCCAGTGTTTATACAGGGCTTGGAGGTGGCATCAGTCCGCCCTCCTTTCTGGGGGTCAAAAGCGTCTAGTGAACGCAGTGGAAGCTAAGCTCTCATACGCCTTTCCCCTATTGTGTCTCCCATGGCCCCCTTTTATGGAAAAATTAACGCAGTGGAGGGTAGGCTCTCACGTGCCTTTTCCTCATTGTATCTGGCCAAGTGATGTCGGTGCAAGCCATGTATTCAGAGGTTGCTGTGGTTTCTGGAAGACACTGCCAACGTCCGTGTCGTACAGGAGCGCGCGTTTTCATAATTGCGGGTTGCGAACCGCAAGCAACGTGCTGCCATGACGGCAGCACGTTCCTTGCGTGTAGATGCAAGCATGAAAGTATGCTTCCATCTACTATAATAACCAAGTGTTAGAAATAGTTGCTTCCTAGAGAAGAAGTGTATGAACTATGGGAATAAAATTGGAACTTTGTCTGTGATCAATCGCTTTTTTTTTCACCGATATTCACCGATTTTAGCCTCGTCGTGAGACGTTCCACCGAAATACACCGGTGTTTTGAAAATAAATAAGCACCGAAAAGCATCCGCCGATTTTTCTCACAGATAAACACCGGAAAGTACACACCCTAGATATAACTAATCCAAGTTATGCATATTTTCGAAACTGTCGCAGTCGAGACTTTGAACCTGTATGCAAGGTCCTTTTCGAAGAGACCAAGCCGAAGGCGAACCAGAACCAAAAATAGCTGCTCCGCAGAAGACAAAAGAGGAGGCCTGCCAGCATTTGTGGCATTGTTGCTGTAAGTAGTAGACCACATCTTAACATTCTCCCCATTTTCCCCTGGTGCCAAAAAGGACCAAAGACTCTTAAACTGTGCATAGCTTGAAAGCCCGGTATAAAACTGGACATCTTCCGGGCTATCCTTAAAACACTCAATGGAGAACTTTCTACTTGCTTTTGCCTTAAGCGTGCGGCATTCTTCCAGTGCAAGCTCAAGCTTCCGTATAGCTTTGTATAGAGCATGTTTAGTTTGACTCAACTCTATTTCCCGAGCATCTAGCTCCCTGCATTTTATAAGAGCTAGCTCAAGCTCTGAACGCATCTGCTTCAGGGTGTCTTCAGCCCCTTTCAGCTGGTCTTGACACCTTGTCAGTTCAAACTGCAGATTCTTGATCAGTTCGGCTTTGGTGGCAGTCTGATTCTCGAGATCTTGTTGCTGCAAAACGCGCGTGATGTCATCTCTACAGTGTGTAACAATCTGATCATAGTGAAAAGTTCTTACTAACCTGTAGACGGTCATCACTGTCTGTATCAGCGATCGAGTTGCCGGTGTCCTCTTCGTTCGCGACGCTGCTTTCATCTGCGATTGAGGAGCTTGTCGCGTTTTCATTGGTGACGATGTCTGCGTCGGTGATCGAGCTGCCGGTGTCTTCTGCGTTTGCGACGCTTTCTGCGTCGGCGATCGAGTCGCATGTCGCGTCCAAGTCTGCGACGTCGTCGTTCGCCGATCCTTCGGCAGCAGCAGTGGAGAGCTCCTGTTTCGGTGGCAGTGGTAGTCTTCGACGGGGTTCCCTCCTCGGAGGCCTTGCAGCAGTGTTGAAAGCAAATATGCTCGGCACGGCATTCTGGCGCAAGAAGCGGCGGCTACCAGCATAGTTCGCGAGGTAATCGCTCTGCTGAAAGTGCTTCGAGCACAGCCTCGTGTACTTCGTGATCTGGAAGAGTTTTCCCTCGTCCCGTTTTATAGCTATCACCCACTTCTTTCGAACAACAGGATCGCTGGGGAAAGAAAAAAAAGACACCTGGGAAAGAAGAATACCCAAATTTTAGTGTCGCAAATAAGCAATGCCCAAACGAAGACTGCAACTTGTGCGCGCGCGCTCGTGCATCTCTTTGCATGCGCCAGCGTACCCATTTAATGACTCGTAGCAAACACAAAGCGTCACCTTGTCTCCGAGGTCATCCGTCACGCCTTTCTGTTTGCACAGAGGCGCGCAGCAATATTGAGGCATTCCGAGAGGCTCGATGGGTCGTCCTTGCAGCGTACTGCAACAGGCCGCGGCATACCACATAATGGCGGCCGCCAGCCGCGAGCAGCGCCCGCGGATTGTTTCGAAATGGCGCCGCTAGATGGCACGGCATAGGTAAAAGGGTCTATTCCGCTCCGAGTGTGAACAGGTATTACGTGGCTCTTGCTGACACTCTCGTAGTTCAAACGTATCTCTTTTAACGTCGGCTTGCTCCTGCACCTCCGAGGCCGCAAAAAACGCCGCGGCAATTTGTTTCCATCTACGTCGCTTAGCAAACGACTGATGCCGGCCATCTTTTACCAACGATGACAGTTGTGTTTTCTTCGCAGCGATCGAGTTCGTAGCAGTCAACGAAGCCGGTTAGGCGTCCCGGCCTCGGCATTCGGGCGCGTTTAAATCGTGTTAGCGTCGACATATCACTGCACGGACACGAACCCCAGACAAGCGGTGGCAGAAAGGCCGCCTGTGTTTGTTATTAAAAATCCACGTGCTCCGAACGACTCCGAACCATGCCGAGCTCTCCGATTGGTTGTTCGTGCTGCCGAAGACTCCGTCGCCATAGCAACCGCACCGGTAAGTTCGAGTCTTTCCGTGCGACAACGTCGCTTTCCTCCTTTCACTTAAGAACGCGTTCGTGAACACCGATTTCTCCTCTTCTTACGATGTTCTTAACTTACAAACTTCTTAGCTAAGTTGTCTTAAACTAAGAAGCTCTTCGTGAATCTGGCCTCTGGTATTTAACTTCAGGACAATTTGATTTAAGTAAAATGTCAATTTTAGGGCTTAAGGGACTAATAAGGAGCTAGGCACCTTCGCTTACGTTTGTTATACATTACTTGAGGGTTGATATAAACAAGTCCATAGATACCACCCGTGTAGTTCATTGAAATACTATCCAAATCAAGCAAAGGTCAAATGCGAGCAATGTATATAATACATGTTCCCTGTTTTTTTTTTTTTTTTTTTTTTTTTACTTTGTCCCTGCACTTGGGCTGTCTTACTTATGATCCTCTCCCCATGGCCCAGACTGTATTTAAGATGTTGCTCGAGCAGCATGCAGCTTTTCTGCTTCGGCGATCTTGTTTATAAACAGAGATACAAAAAAAGTGTACATAACCTGCCAATTCATTCAGACCATCAGCAGCATTTATTGTGCGAGACGTAAATCTATAGTGATGCTCCTGCAATTGTGGCCATATTTCTTTATTTTCATATACCAGCTGTGATTCATCCGTTGCCTGCCCTGTCAACATTGCTTAAAATGTTGGTTGAAGTTTCGCCTGTAGCTACAGGCCATACCTCAATTAAGGCACATATAAAAATTTACACTTCCTACGAAAAACACGCAAAAAAAAAATAATAAAAACGAGCGCGCCGACAGCTAGCGTCGTCACAGCCTCCACGGGGCGAGCGGGCCGAGTCGGGGAAAAAATCCCTCCTCGCCGTGACGTAACCCCGGTTTGCCGTAAGGGGGCGCCACGCGAACTTCTCGGGGCTAATACTGTCGATCCCTGATAGGCGTCCAAACGTACAGTGACGCAACGCGACCTAATGACGTCCGGTGATCGTGTGTCAGGTGATGTCATGACGTCGAGTGACAATGTGACGTCACGTGACAATCAGACGTCATGTTACAATACTTCGTCACGTGACGCTATGACGGCGCGTAGAGACATAACCATGAGACTGTTGATAATTGAAGCAATATAAAAACAAAGCGTCGTCGCGAATTCTCCCAGAAAGTTTCTCGGGCGATAAAACAAATAAAGCTGGATCGGTGTTAGGTCGGCGAAGCCACGGGCGTGAGATTAAGTGGAGCTAAACGCTCGGAACTTGAGAGCGCGATTTTGGAAGTCTTCTTCAGTGACCACAAAGCGGTGTTAGTTTGTGTAGAATAACATTTCATAAGACGTCCAGGCAGCCGCACCAACGACAGGGAAAGGTTCATCCGTACACATGCAGGTTCGTCGTTCCCTGGATTTCAAACTTGGGAGTGCGGTTTTCAAAGTGTTCTTCATTTACCACAAGGCAGTCCTAGTGTGTGTCCAATAAACTTGCCTAACAGGTTGACGAAATTTTCTCCACTGAATGCCCCCACATTGGTTCCAAAACGCTATGGAGCTTTCGTCCCGTGTGTTACTCGGTCAAATGCGAAACGCCATTGCGGACTCTATGGTGCGCGCTCGCACATTTACCGTTCATTCAGTCCATCTGCTCCGAAATGACACCTTAGCGGTTCGGACGTCCCACCCCAGCTGTTGCAGCGTTCCATTTTACGGGTAGCGTAAGTAATCATCAATATTTTTTTATTGTTATTTCTCGCAATGATTTTTTATGCAATTTTTCGAATAAACCTGTTGCAATGCATACCGCGCCACGACGGCAGGAGATTTTGAGCAACCTCAGTACGGATCACGTGCTAAACGTAAACCAAAACTATACCTGTGGCAGCGTAAACGCTTCGCCAAAATCCCTTATTTGAGTGCGTGATCCGTTGTAACTTACTTTCACGCCTTGCAGTTTTACCGAATCCACTTATTTTGTACCGCAACTGTGGCGCGGTTCGACCAGGTTCGACGAAGCCTTGGTGTAGCAGACGACGGAGACGGTACAAAGGGGAGGGTTAAGAGGAGGGCTGCCCAGGCAGCCTAACAAGCTAGCCTCTCCCCCATTTCCATGCCCTCGCCCGACTAGGCTGCTCGAGCGTTGTTGCCTTGGCAACCTGCACCGGATCGCATATGTCACGTGGTAGAGGGAGGAAATACGGTGGGAGGGGCATACCGAGGATTCTCGTAATTATTCTCGCGGTGCGCGCGGGCTTGTGGGATTTTTGCAAAGGGTCTATTGCCGAAACGCGGGGGGCCTGACGTCACGCGACTGCGGTGGCGCTGCTGTTGGCTCGGCACGCATGCGCAGTCGTTGCACCTCACTGAAATCCGGTTAGCACACGCACTGTGCCCACACCTGGTGTGTGCAAACGCGGGCTTGTTTGTAAGTCTGTTGGTCTAGATCTACATTTCGAGTACATGAGGATGAAGAACAGCTTCAAGCGCAGGTCAGATAATGCTTTCTCGTAGACACGAGCGTCATTATAACAACGTCCGCTGCTGTTGCCTGCTTTCAAGTAAAAATAGAGTCCAACGCAAGAATCAGCTAGGATTTTTAAAATAAACAGAGTTTGCTGAGGTACACGGACAGCTTTTAATGCAAAGAAGAGACAGTGGGCGCTCGATGGAAACCAGGGCGAATTCACGGGGTCGTGCCAACGACGCTGTTGATCCAGTTGACCTGGGTAGACATTCTCGCAAACACAGTGGGCTGATTGGCTGCCGCACACGTCGTTCCCCACGACGTACTTCCGGCCAGCACGTAGCGGCCGTCGGACCTGCGGCACTGCAGGGGACCCCCGGAGTCGCCCTGGGAACAAAGAGCGTGCGCGGTTGCAACGGATAGCCTAAGGCCGCAGCCGCACTGCCCATAAGCATACAATGGTCATGGAGTTTCTCCGCAGACATCATGGCAGAATTCTCTGCGGACATGCCTCAGACATATGTTCGAAGCATGTTTGCCTATATGCACATGCTACAAACATGTCTGCCGACATTGTCTGTATGACCAGTGTGAAAGGGCCACATACAAAGAAACACGCCTCAGAGTGTGTCTGCAGTCTGTCTTGTATTAACAGTGTGACCACGAATGAAGATCGCCTTAAAGTTTTCATCTACGTCAGAATTAAGTAAAATTTCGTGTTTTTTTTTTTTTTTGTTTTTGTTTTTTTTTTGTTTGGGGAGGGGGAGGGGGGGAAGGGGGGAATTATTTTGTTTCGAATTCGGTGGTGTTGTTTTTCGGGGTTTAGTTGTTTCCACGGAGTCGGTGTCCTTCGGTGTTAATGTTCGACGTCCAAAACAAAAATCGGCGTTTATCGGGCTTTGTGTGCAAGAAAACAGGACATGGACACGAGGTTGTTCCAAACGCGAAACACGTACATGACACGAGCGTCGGGAACATCTTTCTGGTATTTCTCATAGAAAGAAGCGCGACAGTCGTTGTGGTTCCCTGAGACCTCGCGAACAGTTCAGCGCTGGCCGTGTTCTAGATGAAGACGAAATAAGCTGCAGACAAAGACCCCATTTTTTATTTCCAGTCTGAGACGCGTTCCAGGCGCCGTGAACAAAAATTAATTATTGCGCAGCTTCAGCTTCCTCTAGAGAATAACACGCGCGCTATAGGCCTGCTCATGGAGATCGGTATTTCTTCGTTCGCACACCTCCGCTCTGTGGCGCAGTTTAAATAGCGTCAATTTCTCACCTGGCAGGCTCCTTTTCCGCCGGCCTTTGGACCAGCACAGATCATTGTGGTTTCTACGACTGGATTAACGTTTTGGTAGTTCGATTTGCAGGTTGCGTAAGGCACTATAGGCAAATCAACCTTCTGAAGGGACTGGGATATGGTTCCACCCTGGGACTCTGCAGAGAGAAGACGAAGAAAGCGGGAGTCGAGGTCAATTATTTACACATGGTATACGGACGCGGCGAGGAAGATATTGCTCATTACTTTGTTATGTATTTATCAAAACCATGAATGGGAAGGCTCTCCTAGACTAAGCCCCTCCCCCCCCCCCCCCTAAAAAAAAATACAAAGCAAAACAAAAAATAATTTGCACGGAAGGGGGGCTTCGGAGTCGAAGTGGTTGACACTCTAACGAAACGCAATGTGAAAAAATGAAAGCCATTTACAACTCCCTGTAACACCGAATTAGAGCGCAGATCAGGAGGAGAATGCAAGGGTACTGGGGGGAGGGCATACGCCTCCCCCCTCCTCCTTACGTCGTCATCCTGCCTACTTCTCTGCCACGGGGGCCACGTGACCCCACGGGGGGGGGGAGGGGGGGGTGTCACGTGACCTCAGGAGGGTCATGTGACGTCAGGGGGGGTCACGTGACCTCACGGTTACGCCGACGGCGGTGGCGACGCCACTCCATATGCCAGAAACGCGCGCTTAAAAGCTGCGTTTTAATACGAAATAGACACAACAGTCATCCAGGAGTGTACTGGTAGAGTATAGCGGAAATGTCCAAGGCTGTTTTCTCCCAACGACATTAGGAACGGCAAATGAAATAGACTCATTGAACTTGCACTGTGCCACAAATGGAATAGAAACTACCTTATACGAGTTCTAACGCTTTTTGTCGTGAGGAATAAGACCATGCACCGATGAGTATTGTCCATTCAGCGACCGGTTGCGGAGCAAAGTATGGCAATGGTCTCAACTTTCTGACTCCAGGTATTGCGGGAGAAGCGACCTTCTTTCTTGCAGGAGACGCGACGTGCCTGAAGACATGAGGCGGCGGCTCATGTCGCGCATGCGCTTTTGTGCGTCTCCCAAGTTTAGGAAGCTCGCGCGCGCGGGCACTGCGTCGTCGGTTCTCGTGATATCTGCTTGTACATGGCCGCATTAAAACAGCGTCTCCATTATAAAAACAACGCAATTACTCGTGTCTACGCGGCACACCACATGTCCGAAGGTTCAAGAAGCTTCGTTTTTGTCACGCTCTAGCGTAATACATACATTTCGCGAACACACAATGAACAACGCGCCGAGAAAATTAGGGACAAGAGGAGATGTAGACGCGCGAGGACTTCAGAACGCCGAGCCCTGGTTGGTAGACAGAACGCTGACAGCCTTTGTCTTCACTGCACTCCTCGAATGCGTTAGAACGCGGAAAGCCAGCGTCCCGCGTTAGGCTTTTTCATTCGAAGGCGTTCCATGAGTGCTGTGGAGACAAAGGCAGGTCCCGTCTCCTCCTCTTTCTCAGTTTCTCGGACACCGCAAGGCCACCTCCCCGCAAGCGCCGTAGGCAAATTTGGCGCAAGTGACCCCCTCTCCTCCGGTGAGGAGTTGGCGGCAAAAGGAAGAGAAAGGGGCATCCCTGGCTCCCCGCCATTTAGTTCCTAAAGTTGTTCCCAGCCACGAACGAAAACAAAACACCGACTGTCTTTCGTGAGTCCCCATCCGCTGGTGGTGCAGGTCATTCCATCGAATCCTTGGTTGAGCGTCGGAAGGCAGATGGGCATCAGCGCCTTCTCGCTACCCGTGAAGTTGAGCGGTCTCGCCAGCTTCAGCAAGGCGTAATCGTAGTTCACGTTGGAAGGGTTCCATTGCGGATGAATCGTGATCTGTGGCTCGAGAAAACGTGTAGAATTATATTTTGTTAGCTAATCTGAATGCTGAAGGAAACAGCTCGCTACCTCGGTTCTTCAATTCTCGACCCGGTGTGTTGCGACGTTCATAGGCATTGCGCCTGTTCGCGTTATTGACAGGTACAACACTTGCTCTTACATACAGAACCAAAGCTGGTGGCTGTGGTGACTACTGGCCTCGCCTCCTTTATTCTAGAAAGCCTGTCAAATCGCGAAAGAACGTCGCCTCTGTAAAGGAGAAGGGAGATCAAAGGAGAGGGCGCGCGCAGGGGCTAGGAGGCTCTACGTGAAACCCGTTTAGAACGAACCCACGTAAAGCGAATTATTGTCGATATCGAACTCACAGAAAATTTAAATAAAAATGTATGTAAAATACTTTTTATAACGAACAACATATTGGCTATATCGAACTTTTCCCTCCGGGAACGCTTCCAAGAACAAGCAAACAATCGTCTTCTAGCCTGCCCCTTCCCCCAAAAAAAAGAAATAGGAAAGGAAGAAAATTCCAAAAGCTCAAGTTGCGAACAAAATTGAGGGCAGAGAAGCGATTCAGAAGGGGAGAAAGCTGTAAATACACTCTGCACGCACGCACGCACGCACGCACGCACGCACGCACGCACGCACGCACGCACGCACGCACACACATACACACACACACACACACACACACAAATAACGTTTCATCCCAAAGCATTTGCTCACGAAGAAAAGCTATTCAGAAGGGAAGTCAAGCTAAAAAAAAGTCTGCACGCATGCAAAAAAAAAAGTGTTTTAGCTCAGGCTTACAAGGCGGAAGTGAAGAGATGAGAAAGAGAGAGAAACCCTCGTCTTACAACGAACGCATCGTGGAAGTTCGTTGTAAATGGTTTTTGCTATATATCGAACTGATCGTAGTGTTTCTTGCTGTTCGTTATAAACGGGTTTAACAGTTAGGGTGGGCGCAACTTAAATCCTTGAGAGCGTTTGCAATTTGATGGCGGCGCCTGAGGGAAAGAATTGGGAAAGGATATGCGCCAATGTTGCCTGCACTAGGGTGCCTTCATGTGCACATGAAGGCTCCCTAGCCTGCACAAGAGCAGACTCCCGCTCTGTTGCCCCATGTGCCTTTCCTCCTCTCGTCTCCCATTGCAAGCAAGCCTATCTCGCTTCCTCCTCGCTCCGGGAATTGCAAACGCCGAGAGGAGAAAGCAGGGTTGCAAGACAAGCAGCAACGTCCAAGATGGCGGAATTTACCATTTTCTTCGCGTTAAACAAATACTTAGCCTGTCGGAACAAAACTGATGGCTATAGAAAAGTAATCATTTATACCTTGCGTAAATTATTCGAGCACATTAATGGGCTTTTGAGACCCGAGTTAGGAAATAAAACGACCGTTTTGCTCCATAGACTCCCAGCAAAATTTAGCAATTAAATGGCGTCCATATCCTGTGATCTCCGATCTAGCCGTTGCATCCACCCTAACTAGAGCCTCCCTAGCAGGGGCATTCTTTGGCAGCGCCAAACCAATGCTTCAGCGGTAAAATATGGAAACAGAATCAAGGTCCTTTTCTTTTTTTTTTTTTTTTTTTTTGAGGAGAGAAGAACATTTTTCGTTGATTCTCCCAAAAAATTTTCCTCTCTTTCGCCCCTCTCCCGTTTCTCCACGCGCCCGTAGCCTCTTTTCTTTCTTTTTTTCCTTCGTTGCAGTTTGTTTTTTCGCGCAGAGGCCTCCGCGCGTATCGTTGGAGCTGACTAAAGGGTTACCCTAGAGTAACTGTATGCGCTACGCTTGTGGAGCAGAGTGGAGCAATGGTGCTCCCTGGGCGGCCACGTTGGATCCAAGGCCGCACTGCAGGAAGCGACCGTCGCTTCTGCAGGAGATCAGGAGGCGCGGATGGCGCGGCTGTGAAGGCCCGTTCACACAGTTGCGTCGCACTGCGTTGCGTTGTGAAGCACAGCGCCTCCCCTTTGGCTCGTCGCAATTGTCGCCATGGCAACAGTTCGACGCAAACAGCCTTAAAGAGGCACGAATGGTTGCCGTCGCGCTTGAACGCAACTGTGTGAACGATCCCTTGAGGCGGCGTGCTGCAGCATGCGGAGCAGTGAAGATATAGACGCTTTACAGCAACTGTGCATGGGCGCCGCCATAACCGACCTTCAGTTTTGTTTCCTCTATTATTTTTCACTTCGCTCCATCATTACCACAGGAGGACAGGTTACTGGCATTTTAGATACGACGGTGTCTTTTTCCCCAGCATTTGCCTTTGTGGAGGCTCGCCGAAGCCCGCTTCAGGGGTTTGATATCTCGGTAAGACAATAGAAGGTCGGCAGTGGCGTCTGTAATCTGGCGCGTGTGTAAAGCGTCTATAGTAAGCAGTGATAGAGTGCAGGCGAGCTGGTAATGAATCGATATCTTGTAAACCTTGAGATGGGGAACGTTTTTTTATCGTTCCCTATCTCAGGGTTTACGAGATGAAGATATATAGGTTGGTTCAAGTCTTGGGATACATTTTAGCGCTAAAAAACAAGGACAAAAAGACGAGAATGAGACACCACAAGCGCACTGTGGAGTCTGATTCTCGTCTTTTTGTCCTTGTTTTTGAGCGCTAAAATGTATTCCAAGTTCCAAAACCAACTAGCCCAACAGTCTACTCTACTGATTCAGGTTACCAGGATCGATATAAAATGGACCGTAAAAATCGACGCCTGCACGCAGCAATCTAAACTTTTCGTCAAAGGTGTATTTCATAGGTCGTTTTTTTTTCTCGTAAAATAACAAAGCGTAGCTCTCTTTCTGTAAAAGATAAGGCCCAGAAACTTGCCAGGGTCTACGGCGGGCATCAACACAGACGATAGGGGTCCAGTAGCGGGGTGTGATTGGCGTTCGTATTGATAGATGGCGCTACTTTCTTATCGCGACGGCTCGCGACCACCGTGGTTTATGGAAATGAACATAATCTTTCTGAAATGTATGTTCAGTTAAAATATAACGGCTTTATCAGTACAGTTTATTTTCTTTCCTTTCTGAAAGTTTACTCAAAATAATTTTTGTCTAACTTGACAAAAAACTGAAAGCCGTTTACAAATTCCTGTAACGCCGAATAGGAGCGCAGCTCTTGAGGAGGAGTAGGGAAGGGTACTGAGGGGAATCACGTCACCTGCGGGTAGTCACGTGACCCCGGGGGGTCACGTGATCTCGGGGGAGGGGATTTTGACAAGTTTCTTGGCCTTATTTTTTACAGAAAGTGAACTACGCATTGTAAATTTACAGGAAAAAACCGACCTGTGAAATACACCTTTGACGAAAAGTTTAGATTGCTGCGTGCAGGCGTTGATTTTTACGGTTCATCTTAGATTGAGCCTGGTGACTTGGGTCACCTTATAGTGCTGCGACACGCCGCGCGTGTGCCGTCGTCCCGTCCTTTGTCTCCTCTTTTTTTTTATGCCATCGATAGACCATATTAACCGATGGGAACATCGTCCCTTTGAAAGCCGTAGCTACGCATGGTTGTCAGGTCCGAAGTGCTCGGATGTGCCGGTCGCGTATCACTCCGCGAGCGTCGTAGACGCGAGCTACGCGATCGTCCTCCATATCGTCTGCTTCCCACGCTTTGGAAACATGTTTTAATACATCATTCGCGTTATCAAACGACGCGATTATACTGTGCCCAGAGGCTACACATAATGTCCCATGGTCAAGGAACCTTCCAGTTTGTTCGATTTTAGTGTGCGATATATTTTTTGCAAGCGAAGCAAAGCGAGAAACACGCTCCGCCCGAAACTCGGCGCCTGCGAGGTCACTTTTCCTCATAAAGAGGGTATCCAGGTCGACGCATGTGACGGTTTCTCCGCCAATGCAGAGTTGGCGGTGCAAGAAAAAAGAACTCTGCCTCTGCAAGCAGTGCCTATACAGAGCCTGCACAGTCAATCGAAATATCTTCTATGTTAAACATGGTTCTCTAACCTCCTCTTTACGTTCTTTTGGCGAATTTCCAAAGCTGTTCCTAAAATTTTCTTTCAAGGGCTAGTCACCATAAAACTGGAGGTTAACCCAGGACAGGCTCAGCGCTACCATATGGCTAACCGTTCGGTGCTGCTCTTGGCCTTTTCCCGACATCCGCGCCCAATGGCTCCGTCGTGGAAGTGACAGACTTTCTAGAATACAATCTCTAATATAATACGAATGCTATAAGCCGACGAAAACAAAAGAAAAGCCTGGTGTTTTGTAACCGTAAACTGCTTTCACATATTACGAACACCCGGAGTTTAGAGCTTAATCGTATAAATGTAATTGAGGAAAAAATTTCAGGAGATATCTATAATATTTAAAGTCATGGTTGGGATGGTAACTCTTTTATGAAAATGTTCTACTTTCCTCTCCGGTTCTTATGCCATCAGAGTCAGGACAGTCCTGCCATGGGACATTCGTGTTCAAGAGGAAAACCGCCAATGAGAGAATTAGAAGAGTACAACTTACGTAATATTGTGAGAACAGCAAACCTCTGCGAGAATTCGCGGTTTAACATGGGGTGATTTGTTTCTGGTAGTTAGAAGTTGACTAGAGCTGAGCATACAAGGCGCAGAGAATGCGAGTTCTTACGTTTACGACTGCGATTTTTTTCTCGTAGGGATCGACCTTGTTGAGGTTTTGTTCTCCAATCACAACCATATAGTTTGACGGGGACTTGTAGCCACTGAAAAAAAAAAGAAGAAAATATTAAGAGTCGCGAAGTTGCATTATGCACTGCAAGTTTGATAAGCATCAACATTTCCACCAAGAGAAAATCTACCGACTTCGCTGATAGTCTCCTCGGTGTTAAATTTCCGTTGCGGTCACGGGAGCGCAAAGTGTTGGGTTTGAACCGTGAATGGTTATTTTCCCGTCCATGGGGCTTCGTTCATAACCTCGCTTGCGTTCTGAAATAATTTTTTCTTTTCTTTTTTGAATAGCGATATCGCGAAAGCTTGTTGACATATTCAACTGTACTGACAAAAGTTTGTATATACAACAAAAAAGTGCCTAGACGATGCGTTTGATCGTCAATAATTACCCCTTTAGTGAATATTCGCTCTTCACTCCTTAAGGCTACAAACGGCAGCTTTTGCCGAAACTCAAATGTTAGGTAAAAAAAATTCCAGCACACTCTAACATAAGGAAAAGAATAATGAAAAAATCTGACGCCTCAAAGGACAGTTACTGAGGACTGAAATATCTGAAGCCGATCGATGAATGACTACGTCTAAATTCTGTTTAAACCTAGAGGGAAATAAAAAAACGTGTGATCTCAACACATATTCAGTTTCCCCGCTAATTTAAATTGTCTGACAAATTGCTAGGCAATTGTGTAGAATACGTGAAAAGTTTGTAGATCACGAACGTTTAGCGGTACTTGGAGCCTGTGTCCCCAGAGTGTGGGAATGACCGGCTGGGACCGGTCTTGTTTCAATTTTCCCACTAAATTTAGCAGGTAACCTTAATTTTCCCGCTAGATGTGGCGGGGAAACTTAATACGAGTAGAGGTCACGTGACATCATGTCTCCGCGTGAATTTCTTTGCTAAATTTAGCGGGGAAACTGTATTTGTGTTGAGGTCGCATGACGTTAAATTTTCCGCTAAATATCGCGGATAAACTAAATTGGCGGTGAGGTTACGTGACGTCAATTTTCCCGCTAAATTTGGCGGGGAACTGAAGTCATGTGACGTCAATGGCCACGGCTTTACTAAATTGGGCTTCACTTGATCCCGAGCAACTAGCCAAAAAACGTTCACATTAAAACTCTGTGCGCTGTGATACCGAGTATGAAGTTTCATCATGCGCAGGGTCGCAGCGCAGACTGTTTTTTTAAGCCTAAACATATTTCCGATCCCGTCGTTCAAGGAGCTTCCTCCGTAGATCGCAGCGTTCGACCGAGTCAACTTTCCCAAGTAATTTGCCGGAAGGTAGACGTCTTCGTAAAATGAGATTTAGCGGAAGTCCCAAAGGTAGAGACGGTTTGCGTATGAATAAATTGGCTTCCACCTAAATTTGAGCGCAGTTCGCGCTTTCTACAGACGACTGGTTTCCGCTGAAACAATTCGCCTGATCCGGGAACCTGAACAAAGCCAAACCTTCTCTACCTTTGGGACTCTCCCTACGTCTCCGCATATCAAGTTATTAAAGGGATCATGAAACGATCTTTCAACTTCTTCCTTCTTAACTTTCATCCTCATGTCAAAAGCAAAAGGAGAAATCACGTGGTCGTTACGTGCTTGGACACCGCGGTTCATGACTTCAAGCTTTTTCCGTGCTTTTTAAGCACGCTAGAGAACTGGTCATTTGCAAGTGATGATGAGAGCCCTCAAGGCACTCGAACGCGAAACCAAATATTCGCCGAAGGATTGATTTTTGAGGAGCGCATACGTCGACGGGGCGCAGTGCTCGTCTCCAATGCGTGAGCTGGGTTCGGCTGACGTGTTTTGGGTACCGCAGATGCATTACAGTGAAAAGGCTGAGAGCTTTCGAAGAAAAGGAGGCATGGAATTGTCCGCTATAATTTTAAATTTTTCTACAGAAAAGTGTGGCTATTGTTTTTTCTACCATCGTGTACTAGTTCTCTTTTTTGCGCACTAAACGATGTGCGATTGGTAAGATCACAATTTATCCCCTCCCGAAATTCATGTTGGGCCAATTAACGACGTAATTCTCCCTTGCAGTTGCTACGATCAAGACTGCTGGTAACTGTTAACACCAGTTTGCTCTGCTGTCAGCTCCTGGTTAGATCAGCTCATGCAGAGAGCATGTTTGTCTGCTTCCTTTTGCCGGGGCTGTGGTGATCACACCGTGGCTCTGATTGACACTGACTGAAAGAGAGTGGGTAGACCTCGAGGCAGCTTGCTTTGAGGTCTACCCACTATCCTTCAATCGGAGGCAATCCAAGTCAATCAGAACTCGGCGCTCTAAAGTCGCCACAACCCCTGCAAAGAGAAGCAGCCGAACTTGTGCTCGGAAAAGAGCGCTCTGTTTGTGTTAGAGAGGTACCGGGATCGAATCCCGGAATAGGCGGATTTTTTCCGGCGGCCACCAGCCGCCTAGAGAGGACGCGAGCTGCGTTCTGTTTCAGGTGCATGTCACTGTAAAACGTACGGGTAGGTAGACGCTCTAAAATCTTTAGAGTGTGACATTGCGTCCGATCAGACGCGAGACTCACTCTAGAATGCAGTGCGCCGCGGTGTCGACGTATTGCTTGTTGATGATGGAACCGCCGCAGATGTGGCCCAGATCCGTGTTCGGGAGCTGGAT